GAAGTTGTGTGTTCTTCAGAACGATCTTGTTGGACTGGTATGGTCTTCAAAACGATCAAAACCTTATAGCAGATATATATATATCTATAGTATACTATAGCGTATATTTTTTATATTTTGTTTGGTAACGCTAATGGTGCTTTTAAAGGAATAAGAACCTCTTCGGAAATCTGCTCGTACCTTTTCGTTGTTTGGGGCCATAATCAATTAAATAAGATTTATTGATTTTTAGTTCGGTTCCTCAACAAACTAAAATCTCATGAAGGCATCTACACTTATAAATCCATATCAATTTGATACTCTCATTATTAAAAATTATAAATTTAATAGATTACTTTAATTGAATTATATTATGGCAACTATGCACATTTAATTTACATATGCTGCCCAAATAAAATATTTCTAACGATCTCCCACTTAGACTACATATGAATCAGAACAAATGCTTATTACTTTATGAGCTCAATATTTGTTGTCACAAACAAGAGTATCATTTACCAATCTCATCCATTAATCGTAATGATCGAGAGGATTGGTGGAAGGACCGACCTATAGTGAGTGGTCATAGGTTTCACAAATACACACTGCTGAAAACAGAGAAGTTAGCAGAGTTATTGGAAGCAATTGAGAAGAAGTTGGATGGTCGAGATGTGACATGGTTGGAATCGAGGATTGAGGGGCCCACTCAGCCCAAGTCAAACCGATATTGCAGATTCCATAGAGATTATGGTCATACTACAGAAATCTGTAGGCATTTAAAGGATGAGATCGAGTGCTTGATCCGAGCAGGACATTTGAAAGAGTTTGTATATCACGATAGGTCGAATAGAAAAGAAAAGATGAGGTGTAGAGAAGATTCAGTTGAAAGGAGTGATAAGGATGAGGATGATGACAGGGAGGATGAAGGCCGAGGTAGTCGAGGAGGTCGAATGGGAGAAGGTAACAAACGACAAAGGGGAGAAAGAGGTCGAAATGAGTAGGAGGAAGTAGCCCCGGTTAAGAGGGGCACTATCTACATGATTTCAGGTGGCTCGAATGATGGGGATTCCAACAATGTAAGAAGGGAGCATGTTCGAGCAGCTAAAAGAAAGAGAGAGAAAGTGGGGGTGACGTCCCAAATGCCGGTAATAAGCTTTCGAGCTGAGGATGCTGAGGAGTACTGGTGCCACACAACGATGCTCTGATCATTACAGCGGAGGTCACATGTTATTATGTCAAGCGGGTATTTATTGACACAGAAAACTCGGTGGACATGATGTTTTATAACTGCTTTAAACAACTTAGTCAGAATTTAAATATGGAGTTAAAGGAGGTCGTGACTACCTTGTATGGTTTTAATGGAAGCGAGGAGGTTTTGATGGGTGAGATCTCTCTACAAGTGGCCTTGGGGTCAGGGGAAACTCATAAGATCAGGATAATAAGGTATGTGGTTTGTGGGGGCTGAATCGTCATATAACGTCATCATGGGTAGAACCAACTTGAATGCTTTCCAAGTTGTTGTTTCGACTTGCCATATGGCAATCAAGTATCCAGTTGGTGAGAGTGTTGGGGAGATCGCGGGTGATTTATTAACTTTGAGGAGCTGCGACAAGACCACGGTGAGCAACAATAGACAGATCGCCAGAAGGCAAAGCTAATTCGAGAGAGGAGGTGCCAGATAGACCAAGTGGGTCTAGGTCGAAGGAGGAGAGGCCTAGGCTCGACAAAGGAAAGGAGAAGGTGGACATTCAACCCGGAGGCGAGATCGAAGAAGTACAGATGGTCCAAGGGTGTAAGGAAAAAAAGTTTAGAATTGGAAAGGATTTGGAGGAACCACTGAGGTCGAGGTTGATAAGGTTGATTAGAGAATTTGAGGACATTTTTTCTTACACCACGGAGGAGCTTACAGGCATTGAGGCTAGCGTGATCGAACACCGACTCAACATCGACCTCATTGTGAGGCCAGTGAAGCAAAAAAAGAGGCATGATAGAGTAGAGATGGACATGGTGATGGAGCAGGAGGTCGAGGAACACTGGAAAGCTGAACATATCATAGATATACAATTTTCAAAGTGGTTATCAAATACAGTTATGGTGTCTAAGTCTGAAAGGAAGTGGAGAATGTGTATTGATTTAAGTGATTTGAACAGAGCATGCCTGAAGGACTTGTACCCGTTGTTTAGGATTGATCAACTAGTCGATTTTACTATTGGATGTGAGTTGC